GAGGTCCTTTTTGGGTTGAATCTGTTTGGGGATCTTTGAGCTTCTTGGATGTGTGAAACTTTATCTCTCCCAATATTTGGGGAGATTTTGGTTATTATTTCATTAGATAAGCTTTCAATGCCTATTCTTTTCTCTTTCCTGTACACCCATAATAAGCATGTTTGTATGCTTAAGGTTATCTGAAAAATCTCATAGGCTTTCTTAACTGTTTTAAAATTCTTTTTTTGGTTCAACTGTGTTAATTAAAAAGCCTGTCTTCTAGTTCTGAAATTCTTTCTTCCACTTGTTCTATCTTGCTGCTTATGCTCTTGGTTGTATATTTTATTTTGTTGAATAAATTCTTCAGTTTCAGGATTTGTGCTTGGTTCTTTTTTTATTGTTTCTATATTTTTGTTGAATTTCTCACACATATCCTGGGTCTTTTTTTTTTTTTTTTTTTTTTTTAACTTCATTGTGATTTCTATCTATTTTTTTGTCTATCATGTTGAGTTTCCTTAATGTTGACATTTGGGATTTCTCTTCAGGCAATCCACCAGTTTCCTGTTGTTTGGGGTCTGGTATTTGAGAATTATAGTCATGTTTCCATTATTTCCATGCTTCTCCTATTTCTGCATTGATACTGGGCATCTTGTGGTGTAGTTGCTACTTTTAACTTTTGGAGTCATTTTTGAGGGGAGAGACTCTTACCTATAGAAGTGTTTTATATTGCTGGTTGGGGTAGGCTTTGTAGGTTTGGTTCTGGGTGGGCACGGTAGTAAATGTCAGGTAGCTCCCTGCATCTTCTCTGCTGGTGTGGACAGGCCATTGTGTCAGATGAGACACTGGGCTCCCAGGGAAGGTGACTTAGATCTAGGTGGCCTGCACTTCCCCAGTGTGCTCTCTGCTGGTGCTGGTAGGCTCCCTGTGTCAGGAAGACCTCTGAGCTCTCAGAGGAAGAGAAGGTTGTGGATCCAGGCAACCAGCACAAGGGACTGGTGCAGCCCCTGCTCACTGTCTGCTGAAGTGGGTGTGGAGCATTGAGTTGGGCATGGCTCTGAGTTCCCAGGGGAAGGAGGGTGTGGATCGAGACTACCACTGTGCTCCCCCCCTCTCTGCTGGCACGAGCAGTTCCCCTATGTCAAGCAGGGCTATTTGTGTCCAGGAAGAAGGAATGCATGGATCCAGGCAGTAAGCATCCCACCCAACCCTCACACTCTCCACCAGGTTGTGTGGGGCCACTGGGTTGGCAAGACTGAGCTCCCCCACTCTTATCCCAAAATAGCAATGTCCAGCAGCAGCCTGGGATTAAAGTGATAGGGGTTGACTCCACATGTAGTTCCCTTCTGGGAAAATACAGTTGTGTGGGCTCTTAGCCACTCTACATGTTGTGCTCCGTGTTCACGAGGGCCATGTGGTTACCCTGCAGCCTGGTTTGCAGGCATCTAAGGTGGGAACACTGGCTGCCTGCCCTCCCCTGCCTACCCTCCCCTGCCCACCTACCCCTGCCTACCCACCCTTGTCTACCTTGTCCCTGCAGTGCAGGATTTCTCGAGTGTCCATGCCAGTCCTGCTCAGGAGTTTCTCTTGTTCTATGTTGCGGTCTTGAGTTTCCAGGTCTTGGGGGATTTTCCTCGCTGTTTAGCTGGATTCCTTTGTTTTCTCCTTGATGCTGTGCTCTTCAGGTGATGATTCTATTAGTTGCTTTGGACTTTTTTTGCATTAGAGATGAGGGCTGGCTACATCTAGTCAGCCATCTTGCTTGGGGAGTAGGGGGAAACTTCACTGGTTTTCAGTGTAGTCACAGATATGTGCAACCGTCAGCATAATCAATTTTGGAATATTTTCATTACCTCAGAATGAAGCCCCATACCTTTTAGCTATCACCCCTCCATTTCTATTTCCCCCCAGCCCTAAGCAAACCTTACCTAGTTTCTGTCTTTATAGATTTCCTATTCTGGACATTTCATGTAAATGGAATCATACAATACATGGTCTTTTGTGACTGGCTTTTTGTACTTCGAAGAATGTTTTTAAGTTTTACCCATGTTGTAGCATGTATCAGTGCTTCATCTTTTTAACTTGTTCTTTTATTTACCTATTTGTTCATATCATAAAATTTGTCATTTTAACCATTTTTCAGTAGTAAGAATTACATTCACAATGTTGTACAACCATTACCATTGTCTGTTTCCAAAAATTTTCATTACCCCAAACAGAAACTTTCTATTTATTAAGCAATAACTTTCCATTCCCCCTTCCTCCCACTGCTGGTAATCTGTAATCTGCCTTCTGTTTTTATTCATTTGCCTGTTCTAGGTGCCTCACATAAGTGGAATCATACCATATTTGTCTTTTTGTGTCTGGCTTCTTTCACTTACCATAATGTCTTCAAGTTTCATCCATGTTGTAGCATGTATTAGAACTTTTTTCCTTTTTATGGCTGAGTAATATTCTCTTGTATATATAGACCACATTTTGTTTGTCCGTTTGTCTATTGATGGACACATAGGTTGTTTTGGCTGTTGTGAATGATGCTGCAGTGAACATTGGTATACAGCTATCTGTTAGAGTCCCTGCTTTTAGTTCCTTTGTGTATACCTAGGATAGGAATTGCTGTATCATATGATATTTCTGTGTTTGGTTTTTTCAGGAATCACCAAACTGTTTTCCACAGTGGCTACACTATTTGTCATTTCCACCAGGGGCGTATAACAGGGTTGTGATTTCATCACATCCTTAACAACAGTTATTTATCTGACATTTTGATTATAGCCATCCTAGTGGGCATGAAGTGGTATTTCATTTTGGTTTTTTTTTTTTTTTAAAAGATGACCGGTAAGGGGATCTTAACCCTTGAGTTGGTGTTGTCAGCACCACGCTCAGCCAGCGAGCTAACTGGCCATCCCTATATGGGATCCGAACCCGGGGCCTTGGTGTTATCAGCACCGCACTCTCCCGAGTGAGCCACGGGCCGGCCCATTCATTTTGGTTTTTATTTGGATTTCCCTGATGACTAAGGTTGTCGAGCGTCTTTTCATGTCCTTATTGGCCATTTGTATATCTTCCCTGGACAAATGTCTATTCAGAGCCTTTGCTCACTTTTTAACTTGGCTATTTGTCTTTTTATTGTCATCTTGACCTTGGTGTTGTCAGCACCACACTCTACAAGTAAGCTAACTGACCAGCCCTGTCTTTTTATTATTGGATTGTAAGTGTTCTTTCTATAGTCTAGATACAAGTTTCTTATCAGATATATGATTTGCTTGGGAGTTACAACTAAGTTGGAACCACTTTAAAATCTTCACTTATGGTTTTCCAGGCCATACCAACAGTACAAATTCAAACTGCAGATCTACATAGGGTTGGCTTGTAGTTACACATTCTTGGGAGAAGCTTTATTTTCCTTTAGCCCAATCCCAAGGTCAAGTCAGGCATATTTGCTTGCTGTCCTCTCCAGCACAATGGGGTTTGTTTTTATTTCACAACCATACACTTAGGCTGCAGCTCCTGGGGATTCCAGTTTTCTAATAGATCCTCTGCATAATCCACACATTGGGTGGGTCCAAGCTGTTATCTCCTGCCTACCCCACACCTACCTTCTTTTGTAGCTATTAAAGCCAGAAGTTCAAGGTTTCTAAGGTGTGGCAAAAAGTCTTCAGGAGAAAACTTGTTCAGTGTTTACTGTTCCTACTTTGACTTTGTTTTGGGGAGCTGCAGATTTTATGCTTTCATGCCAGCTCAGAAATGTGGTAAATATTTGCCAGAAAGGCAATTGTAAAATATTAGATGCATATGAGTTTTTCATTTCTAGATGTGATTAAAGGAGAATGTCAGATTTCCTGTAATACTGGAGCCTAGGGCAGCAAGTGATTATATGCCACTAATTTCATACTCAGTGTGATAAATAGTGTTGCTAATGGCTCATATCCTAGGAGTGAGTTAATGATTTTTTTTTTTACTGAAAGTTGCTATACTTTATGTAGAATATGGCAGACTTGGTCATATATGTATTCTTTCTTTAAAAAGAAAAGATTCTATATCTAAATTCATGCTTCTTAAAAGTATGTTTAGAGTCTTTCTGAACCTGTTTCTAAGTATAGAAAAAGCAATAAGGAATATGCTGTACATCAGACTTTAAAGTCATGACTACCAAAATACAAATTTGTTTAAAGAAAGGCTTTGCTTTTGTTGCTTTTTCTAGTCCCATTAAATAATTTACTTTTTGGCTTTCCTATTATCTAGAGCAGGTATTGGCAAACTTTTTCTTAAAGGGCCAGGTAGTAAATATTTCAGTCTTGAGGGCCATGCTGTCTGTGTCACAACTACTCAGCTCTTCTGGTGTAGTGTGAATGCAGCTATAGACAATACATAAATGAATAGGTGTGGCTGTGTTTCAATAAAACTTTATTTACAAAAACAGGTAGACCATAGTTTGCTGACCCCTGATCTAAAATAAGACCTCAACAGATGGACACTCAAAATGAAGTGGTATAGGGGAATTGGTCATTCAGTAATTTAGTTAAATTTATTGTGTGTGTTCTATTTTCCAAAGTAAGGACTAAGCTGTTAATTAAATTATGGTATATCTACTTACTGGAATGTGAAGTATCATTGAAAATGATAATTTTGAAGATTAAATAACACGAAAATGCTTTTAAGTGGAAAATCAGGATAAAAGTTTTAAGTTTGTGTCTTAATAAGTATGGACTAATACTGAAAGGAATGCATGAATTTTTGTAAGGTAGAAGGATGGTGGGCAATTCTCTGTTTTTCAAATTGTCTGTGGCATTTTTACATTCCCAAAATAACTAAAAAATGACCTAATGGGATGCCAATCAAAACTGTTGCTTTTTATCATCACTATGTAATTTGAAAAAGAGAAGCTTTGTAAAATTATTGTTCAGTGAAGTACTGAAATCCTTTTACTTAATCAGCATAAGATTGACATGAGGAAAATGTGCTGCTGCTCTGTTCAAGATATGGTGTTATTTCTCTTTTAAATTTTTTTTATATTTTAACAGTGCCCTTATGTCTGCCATTTGTTATATTTACTTACCAAAAAAGAGAATGGTGAGTATTTTCATTTCAGTTGCATTACATTCTCTCTGTGAAATTAGCATTTGTACTGGCCTTTATAAAGTTAAAATAACTATTAGCATTAGTTATATGACAGGACTCATTTTGTGGAAATTGCTTTTTAGTACTTTGATCTAAGAGCATCTGCTTAATGGCTTAACTGAACAGAGTGTTTATATTCTTGATGTGTTGTGAGAAGAAACTATATGAACTACAAGGCAATTAAGTATAACCAGTTTCTTTTTATCCTGAACCAAGTGCATAGTATCTCTTTTCTTTACCTCTTCTAGTCAAACCATTTCGTGTGAGAAAACTGCTTGATCTTCAGGCCAAAATGGTGAGTACTGAAAAATACCTAAGACAGGCCAGTGTACGATGTGCTAGGTACTGAGCTAGGCTTTGGGGATACTAAATCAAATGAGATGTTACCTTCAAGGAACTTCCTTTCTGGGGAGCTCAGTGAACAGAATAAAAAAATTAAAATCAGACTTGGGGTCAAGGAGGAGTAGTGATGCTTGAGGGAAAACTTAAGGGATGAATAGGATTTAAGCCGGCAAAGAAGGGAGAGAAGGGCACTCCTGCCAGAGAGAGAAGCATGAGCAAAGACATGTAGGTGTCATGCAGCAAACACTGTTTAGGGAACTAGATTGGTATAGCTGGAATAATAAATATTAGGGAGTGGTCAGAAACGAGTTTATACTTTTTGTGGATGTGATCTAGTAGAGCATTTCAAGACATTCTCTTCTGGATACATAAACTTCAATATATTGTCTGACCATTATCTCTTGTCCTTACAGCTCTCTTGCATTGTTAATTCTACTACACCTGCCAGGTAACAGATGCCTGTGAAACTTTGGGTATAAAACAATAGGAAGTAGTAGTACCCATGCCTAATTGAAGCCTTCATGGCCCACCTGAAAACATTCACATTGAATGAAAAACACAAACAACACATTTGTACATCTCCAGTGTGAGGTTTCCTCTTACTACAGTTCAGTGATTGTTCTTGTTCTATTCCTTCCTGTTTTGGTTCCACTGGTACCGTATCTTCTCTTAGTTCTCTGAGGATATTAATGGTAATGTTTTTGTCCAAATTTAATTTTACTGCACATTAGTAGAAACTGTGAAATAGTATTCTTACCTCAGGTCACTAAAAAGAAAAAAAAATAAATAAAGAAATTGTGAAAAAGATGTACGTTTTCCCAGGTTACAGCCAAACATTTCAACAGAATAAGAAAATTCTTCCCATATGTAAAATCTTGCTGACTTGTATTAAATGAAACACAATGTATATTGAAGTTAAAAAAGTGATTTACTAGATGATTGTCTAAAAATTTTAAACCCAGAGATTAAATGTATGGTTTCATTACTAACATTCTGTATAGTACATTACAAATTATTCCATTATCAATCAATACCTATTTATAAAGATGCATTCATAACATTGTTTTGATTACCTGAATTTTGGTGAATTTGGGCAAGTCCAACAATATCAAACCAAGAAGGCATAGCCATACTCATGTAACCTAACATACATAACAGCAACAGATATAATCAACACATGTGAGCAAATATGTTGGGTGTGTGAATTTGTGATACCTGCAAAGGCATGTATCCTGTCTATCCCCATCTGTGCTCCATAACTCCCAATCTATGAAGGAAACAAAAACACAGAAATTGCTTTTCTGGTGGTAGGCATGAATCATGGGAAGTGGAGCAGGTATTTATTATTCCATATACATTGGGCCTTGTCGAGAGTAATCTTCAGAACAAGAAGGGGGAGTTAGATCTCATTCTAAGGGTTAGTGAGGATAGTTTCTGGGATTCTCCCTCTACCAGGCAGGAACCTGTGTGTATGCACCTTGGGCTGTGATTTTTTTCTGTTTCCAGCTTTGTCTTTGTTTCCTCAGTTTCTTTTTTTAGTTAACAAACTGTCTTTCATGGCAGAGGTTTTTCTCAAATGCTTGGTAAAGATTATTTGTCCATATTTAATAGTAAGACACTAAAATGATGATTGGAAACCTGTGTGTGTGAGCAGGACTCATTCATTGTAGGATCTTAATGTTTCTCTGGGCAGCCTCCCAGATGACTGTGTCAGTTTCCCAGAGAAGAATTCTATTTCCTGCCAATGGGATTGCAGGGTTCTCCAGAAAAAGAGAACCAATCGGGTGTGTGTGCATTTGTAAAGAGATTTATTATAAGGAATTGGCTTATATGATTATGGAGGCTGGCAAGTCCAAAATCTGCAGGGTTGGACTGGCAGGCTGAAGACCCAGGAGAGCCAGTGTTCTAGTTTCAGTTCAAAGGCTGTCTGCTATTGAACCAGAAAGAGCTGATGTTGCAGATAAAGTCCTAAGGCAGTCTTCTGGAGAATTCTCTTTCTTGGGGGAAGCTGGTCTTTTTGTTCTATTTAGGCCTTCAACTGATTGGATGAGGCTCACTGACATTATGGAGGACAGTCTGCTTTACTCAAAGTCTACCAATTAAAATGTTAACTTCATGCAAAACACCCTCAGAGAAACACCCAAAATAATGTTTGAGCAAATATCTGGGCATCTGGTGGCCCAGCCAAATTGGCACATAAAATTAACCATCACAGGGATATAAACCTGGCTCTCTGGGACCTAAGAAGTGGAAAGGGGTGAGGAATGGTTCTGGAGTCCTCTGAAAGTGCCTCATATCTGAGTCTAGCTTCATCTTCAGAGTAAAACCCTCTATTTTGCCAGTGTAGTGAAGGAATTTGGGGTTCTAACTGCTTCTTATGTAGGTTTTCAAGCAATCCTCTTGTTTTCTGTCCCTTTTGCATCCCTGCTTTTCGGAGGTATCTGGTCCATCAAATTCCTGAACCTTTCTGGGAGTTCTCAAGCATGAATTTCCTTCTTTGAGGCTTTTTTTGTTGCTGCCTTACTTTCATTTTCCCTGTTCTGCTAACTTGGTTACTATTTGTCCATCTTCATTCTAGGTTTCAAAATCTTGTTTAGATCTCTCATTTGCTGTTTTCTCCTCTCTTGTTTTCTTCGAACTTATGCTTTATGCCTTTTTCATTCCCTTACTGTCTTTTTAATGTGGCTTTGGGAGGACCCAGAGTTAATCCCATATGTTCAATATGCTATATTTAATTGGAATACCCCCTTCTTTAGTGTTAACCTTTTAACAAAAAAGATAGGTTTAGTTAACTGGACAGTAAGTTCTAAAGGTCTCTGTACTACTAAATATTTGTTCTGTCAAAAAACATTCTAGGCCCGGCCCCGTGGCTCACTCGGGAGAGGGTGGCGCTGGTAGTGCCGAGGCCACGGGTTCGGATCCTATATAGGGCTAGCCAGTGTGCTCACTGGCTGAACGTGGTCCAGACCACACCATGCTGAACGTGGTCCAGACCACCCCATGCCGAGGGTTGCGATCCCCTTACCGGTCAAAAAAAAAAAAAAATTCTAACCCAAAGCAAGCACTATGATACTCATTGATGGTGAGTGTACAGAGATCAAAAGATATTTTCAACATAAACTGAGTCATTTTAGTTTTGTTATAATTGCTTTAATTTCAAGAAGCTGTTGTAAAATAGGAATACTGTATTTCTTTTTTTTTTTTTTTTTTCCTTTTTGTCTTTTTTCGTGACCGGCAACGGATCGCAACCCTCAGTGTCGCGCCCGTACCGGACTGGGACCGGCAACGGGATCGCAACCCTCGGTGTCGCCCCTGTACCTCGCTCAGCCAGTGAGCGGCCAGTCTGTATGTGGGATCTGAACCCTCGGCGGGAGCGCCGCCGCGCTTCCCAAGCGGCGCACTGTAGCAGTGCGCCACCGGGCCGGCCCCTGAATACTGTATTTCTGAGCCCCATTTGCTGCCTTACTTTGTACAGTATTCGGTTCAACAAAATTTTAGTATAATAAAACAATTTGGTTATTGTCCTGAAATTCATTTTAGTTTTATGCTTTCTCTGGATAGCGAGATATACAGATACACAGGTATCTAGCAGTAATGACTTCTTTCATTGTGAAGTTAGTGTTTTGTTAAGACTTGTTTCAGTTATGTCAAACTGCTTTGACTACTACATACCAATCGTAAGATTTCCTAGTTAATTTTCCAAGAATTATGGTAATCAGATATTAATATTTCCTTTGCTCTGTTTTCTTGGCTTCCCTTTTGGTCCTACCTGTTTGATGTCTAAATCAAGGACAAGTAAACTGAGTCCCGAATATGCTACCAGTGAGAATAACTCATGCTATCCTAGCAAGTATGACTGGTAAGCCTAAGGTGTGGGCAGAGAAGAAGAAATAAGAATAAGAGAATAAGAAAGAAAATGCAAGGAAGATGTAAAATAGGAAAAAGGTAGTAAAAGAGAAGATCACAGGTTGGAGAGGGTTGTTTTATGGTTGTTGATTTAAAGGTCTGGTTAATCATTCCGTAATTGTCTATAGTACCTTCCTATAGCTATATCTCATAGTGAAATTAGGGTCTGAATATATATTTTGTCTCAGTTTATTTTAATTTTTTTTTTTGCTGCTCAGTACAGGGATTGAACCCTGGACCTTACTGTAATTAGCACCCACACTCTAACCAATGTAGCTAACCAGCCAGTTTGCAGTTCATATTATTGTTACTTTTCTTCTTCTTCTTCTTGGTATTTGTTTCCTTAGTTTCTTATTGGCTACAGAATTGAAAATGGAAAACTTTTATTTCAGGGAATGCAGCCTCATCTCCAGGCTTTGTTATTGCTGTATAAGTCCTTTGCTCCTACATTGATTTCTGTATCTTTGCCTGTAAGGAAGAAGGTAAGGGATTAAGGAGCAGTAAGTCATATTGAGATTGAAATATTTTTTTCTGATAAAGTTAATTTCCAGATTTGTACTAAAATGTTTATAGCCTGCTGTTTTAAGATCTAGTATTGTGGCATTGTTTGGGGGAACGTTTTTTAGGGATCGGCACTTTGCGTTGATCCCATTTGATCTATTTAATAGATTTCTGATCAGAAAAAATAATAATAATAAATGGATTTTTATGGGCGCAAAAGATTTCATAGTTAATATGCTTTCAATTAATGAAGAGTTTTAGACTTTATGTTGCTCTGAATTATGGGTACCTACTCTCTTGTACTTTATATCCAAATTTATAGATCTATTTTAAGAATTCAGAGAATCTGTGGAAGACAGCTCTGTTTGCAGCGAGGCAAAGAAACCAGGGACTTTCTCCAGAACCTCTAAAGCTGATGTTAGGTCCAGCTAAAGTCCGTCCTCTAAAAAGAGTAAGTATCTACACTGAAGAAAGCAATCATTAAGTCACTGCTGATAATGACAATAAATTTCCACTGAGTATATTTACAATATTCATCACACTTGTTTATTAGTAAACTTGTTGGCTGTTTAAGATTCATTGTTTCTGTCACCTATCTGAACTTGCTCCAAAAGGGATCAAAACATGCTACTATGCCACATTGGCACAGGGATTAATTTGAGCTAAAGGCTATTGAGACTGAACAGATGCAGGAAGAGTTTTACCCTCTTAGGCTTTATCTGCCTTAAAGGCAAGGCATAGATTGCCCTTTGAAGAAGGTGCCCCTTTTATACCAGGGAGACAGGGAGAGAAGAGCTCCTGTTCCCATTGAAGACTGGGCCAACACCAAGATAAGCATAAATGTACCTTAATAAATTAGCCCTTATCTTTTTTCTTTTTCTTTTTTTTTTTTTTTTTTTTTGGATGTCTGAACCTGTGACCTTGGTGTTAAAAGGCTGCACCCTAACCAACTGAGCTAACTGGCCAGCCCCGGCCCTTATCTTTCATTGCTTCACCCAGGTATTTCCATACTTGCTGGTTAGTCACTTGAAGCCTGTTAAAAAAAAAAATGACAGAATTTAAAGATTTAATTGGTACTTCAAAGTTTATTTCCTTACAGTGTTAACACACAGGGGACTTGCATATGCTGGCTAAGGTGTTTCTGTGAATCTCCTGATGTTTTGGAAACTTGGCCCATTGCTAATTTGATTACATGGTCTCTAGCTCAAGTAACTCCATTCTGGTTTGCATAGTCCAAATAGTGGACTCCCATAAACTTTAACAGCCCAAATCCTTTTTCCGTCATTGAGATGCCCCCGAGTCTAACCTTCAGTTCTTTTTTTTTTACTTTTCTAACCTTTAGTTCTAACCCCAATACATATAAGTAATAAAAATTATGTGTTTTAAAAAATAAAAAGAATAAGTACCTAAAGCCCCAAATGACTTGTGTGGCTTTCTTTTATTAAATCCAAATAATAACCATTCAGATATTGGAGGAGATTATAGCTAGTTAAATATATTTTAATTACCCAGGATTCTACATAAACCACATTCAGACTCCATTAATTGAAACACCCTAACAGCTGCTTTTATATTTATAGTTTGTAGTCTGGTTAGTCCATTTATAGATTGTTTTAATACCTTTTCTCCTTTAGAAATGGAATTCTCAGTCAATTATACCACTGCTAAATTCCAGTAACTACACTAAAGAATGTGGAAAAAAGATGAGTCTTTCTGATTGTCTCAATAGCAATGGATCATTTCCACCCGAACAGCTTCAAAACTTCCCTCAACTCTTACAGAACATCCATTGCTTAGAGGTATGTGACTGGACCATGTGCTTATTTACATTTTCTATTTGATCTTCATGGCCTTTATTTTTGTTACGTATTTCCTAAATGATGATTTCCTTGTTTGCCCTGACCCACTTTTCATGTACTTGGTGTTGACTGATTTTTCTGTCATTGTAGCTCCCTTCTCAGATGGGCTCAGTGCTGAGCAACTCTCTGCTACTTCACTATATTAATTGTGTCAAAGATGAGTTAGTCTTACTGAGGCTCTATTACTGGTTGAGTCAAACATTACAAGAAGGTAAGAATTGATATTTAAAAGCATTGGATGAATGAGGATGGAACAAGTTTACAAAGTTTTATAAGGGTGCCAAATTCTAGGCAAGAGGAACCTTCTGGTGTTGTAATTATTTCTCTGGTAATCATATATTCAAGGCATGAATGCTTTCGTTGTTGTAATTTTAAGGCAGTAAGAAAGGAGGAGTGTTATTAAGGAAACACTGCTGGATGGCTGCCCAAAATCTCTGGCTTGGCTCTACTTTGATAACCGTCACAGTCCAAGGCCTCTTCATCTTTTTGTGTCCAGAAACTTGCTGTAAGCCCCCAGAGTCATCAGATTAATGCATTCAAACTCAGAGGAGACTAATATATGAGCCAGAATGTCAACTTATTATTTTATAATAGAAGTAATTTTTTTCCAGTGTCCAAAATGCTCATGTATGCCAACTAGAATATCCCATCTCTTCTATCAGCATATGTGGGAGCCAAATTTGTCATTAGAAGATTTCTGAATTATAGAACTAAAGGAAAGGGCAGCGAGGAGTCTTTCATCGAGGCCATAATAAAGCTTGGTCATTTTATTCCTCCAAGGGGGTATATTTCTCTAGAGATAGTATTTCTGTTGACAAGATTGAGTGCATCTTTCCTGGATAAGCAAGTCCTCACTCTTCAAGTTTTTAAAATTGGTTTTAGTTGGTTCTAGGCTAACTTTCCTCTTCTACTCAGAGTCTTTCTTTAGATAGGATATGATATGGTTTATTAGATTTTCACTTACTAAATTCCTACCACTCTTAGATTATACCCAGCTCACCCTAACTGAAATATAGGATATTCCCAAACTTTTATTTCATACATTTATATTCTCTTGGATTACTATGTGACATAAAGGTAATCACTTTTTTTTTTTTTTTTTTTTGGTGGCTGGCCTGTATAGGGATTGAACCTTGGACCTTGGTGTTATCAGCACCATGCTCTAACCAACTAAGCTAATTGGCCAGCCTGGTCATCACATTTATTATATGTGAATTTTACCAGTTTATTTGTTCACTATAAGCTCCCCCTATATTACCAAGTTGTTGAGGAGCATCTCACTATCACTTTCACATACCTGTTCCAATCTACAGTGTGAGTTGGCTATGGTGTATGAGACTTACTGACTTTTTTATTTGTCACTTTAGAGTAGTGATCATTGTTTTGTGCAGTTTTTATTGTCGTACAATGACATGCTTATGTTTTCTATTTCTGCTCTAGAATGTATTTGGTACAAGATGAATAATTATGAACATGGAAAAGAATTTAGCAACTTTCTGGACAGTATCATCAGAGCTGAGTGCTTCTTACAAGTAAGATTCCACTTGCTTTCTACACAGTCACTTTTACTAAAATTTATTTAGATGTCCATTGAAAACCTTTTCTTTAGTACCTGACATCTTTTGTAAACAATATTTGCTTAATTTGAAACTCATTATAAATAGAGCTGAGTTTGACTAACTTTTCTCTTTGCACTATTAGATTTGAAGAGTATGTTAAATTTTATAAATAAAAGGGAAAGGCCTTAAAGAGAACAAACCGAAGATATAATTGAATGCATTCAATTAATTGAATTAGCCAATAAAGTAAATCCCATAAGGTCACTACTTGTGTTCTTACAATCAACAAATGTTTTTTGAGTGTCAAATATGTTCCAGCCAATGGACTATTTAGCCAGGGTAACCCTGAATTGTATTTTAAGCTGCAACTCCGGTATCAGCATCATTAGGGTCTTCACTTATCACCCTAGTCTGGGTTAGCTCCTTGTTGTAAATGCTCCCATAGTTCCCTGTACTTACTTCTATCATGGCACTTTTAGCATTTATTTTTCCACACATTACAAGCTCCCAGCAGGCAAAAACCATCTCTAACTTTTCTTGACGTACACGTGTTTAGCTTGTCACCTAGTACAAAAGAGAGGCTTAATAAATGTTTGTTAAATAAATCTTAAGGATTTGGTGTGAAACCATTTAATTGGAAGTTGGGTGTGGAAGATAGTAATGAGGATAAAAGGAGGAATCTAGGTTGACTTTTAGGTTTCCTGCTTGGGAGGATGGATAGCATTCACTGAGGAAAGGAATAGAGTAGGAGCAGGCTTGGAAGGAAAGATAAGTTTGATTTAAAAGTTGCCTATGGGACATCTAAGAGGTCATATCTGGTAGGCAGTAAGATAATGAGTGTAGAGCTCAGGAATGAGATTTGGGCTAGTGATATAGATTTAGGACTACTCATGATAAAGCTGGTGGTTTTAGCTATGATATGGATGAGATTGTCCAGAGATGTCATGAAAAGAAGGTCTAATACAGAGTCCTGGTGCACGCCACTGTTTAAGGCTCAAGGAGGGTGACAAAGTTAAAAAAGGAAGCCCTGAATCCTCACTCTGGTGAATATGTAAGCTACCTAGACACTTGGGCATCTCCAGATGGAACTGCTCAGAGTTTAGACTTGGTCTGTGACCTCTAATGAAATTCTAGACCCATTATGTAACATTATATACATTTTATTGACTTTTCAAATTACTGCATCTACCCCAAAATAATAAATTTCATTTATCTTTAAAAATATTTTATAACTTTTTACCTTCTTTCCAACTGATGAAGTTTTGTGGTGTTTTAGAGCTATATTGATAAAGATGGTAATTTATCCAAATACTAATTATCTCTTTGTTTTTATGAGGAAGTCTGGCACCTAACCCAAGGCTTTTTTTATATTGATGACAAAAAATTAGTCTGAGTGAAACAACTATAGCACAAAATAAACTGGTTGTTTAAAGAGTAATTATGACTGGAGAGTTCTATGTCAGGTTTTACTATTCACTTGTGTTACAGGAGGGGTTTTATTCCTGTGAAGCATTCCTATATAAGTGCCTTCCTCTCTGGGATGGTTTCTGTTGTCAGTCACAGTTCCTTCAGCTTGTGAGCTGGATTCCTTTTAGTAACTTCTCTGGTATGTATCATGAAAACTTGGAGTCATTTAATTCAATATAATATGAATTTAAAGGATTTTTGAATAATTATTTTTTTTAATTTCTAGAGGTGAAGCCACTTCTTTTTGATCATCTAGCACAGCTCTTTTTTACATCAACCATTTATTTCAAGGTAAAAAAACAAAACAAAACCTGTCTTGCTTAGATTCAATAGGAAATATTTTATTGCCAGTATACATGATTCCAAACTGACATTACAGCAGTGGTTTTCTAACAGTATTCTCGCAGACCTAAGCTTTGAGGAACTGCATCACTCAACTCCAAGTTAATGCATAGAATTTTCTGTTTTTAAGGTTTTGTCATATACAGTTTTCCTGAAAATGACAAAGTGAATGAACAAATGGCAAATGCATATTAATAAAAAGAAACTGGGAGATAATTAACCATACTTAGTTTGATTGTTATGGTTTATATTTTTGTAGATGCACTTGTTCATTTCACAAATATTTATTGAGTACCCACTATGTACTAGACAGCTTTCTTGACACTGGTAATGTAGTATTTATCAAAGCAAGCATTTTCTGCAATGTTCATATCATATATTTATATTATAGTCATTTTCTGGTAATAAATTTGTTCTATACTTATATGGTAAAGTTAAATGTGTTACTTTTCTGGTGTGGTCTCTAAAAAGACCATTATGACTTCTAGGAGTTCTACCTGAATGAGTTTAAGAGCCACTTTCTTATAGATTGATTACTCTTATTCCAAAAGAGTGACAATATAAGTAATGTTTCTTTCACAACTTTTTTTCTACCTTAAATCACTGTTTGCCACATTTACAGGAAAAATATGTTATCCTGGTTAGTGTTTGTCATAATCGAATGGCACTTTATTAATTACCTATCATGTTAACTTGGATTTGAAGTTTGTTTATATTATTTGTAACTTTTACTACCTGACCGGTATCATTATTCACATGACAATACACACCAGTTCTCCCTGCTAATAAATTTTGAGGGACTTCATTGTAGTTTTTTATGATTCTCTCCCAATTTTCTAATTGAGTTATTCTTTATTTCTTATTCCATCAATCTAAAGAACTACGTATAAACATTAGGTTCGACCATGGGAAATTGCCGTTTTTGTAGGTCAAAGATAGTTGATGATTGGCAGTTTCCTATGGTTCAACCTAATATGCATATATACATTTATAAACACATACATATATTTGAGAGTAGGGGGGGTGGGGGTAGTGAGAGAGAAGGAGGAAGAATGGGAAACAGACAGTAGGCCAAAGACAGAACTCAGGGGAATATTCAGTATTTAATTCTTAGGCAGAAAAGAAGGCAAGTCTGAAGGAAATTTGAGAAGGAATTGTGAGAGGTATGAAAACCAGGAGAATAGTGCCAAGGAAACAAAGGGAATACAGGATACCAAGAAACAGTGAAGAATAGTGTTGTCAGACATCCCAGGGAAGTTTAAAAAGAAAAGGACAAAAAAGCTTCTTTTGGAATTGACAATGCAGAGGTTTTAACTCTGTGAGTAGTTTCAGTGGAGTGCAGGGGTAGAAGCTAGATTGTGGGGGTTGAGAAACAAATGAGAAGTGAAGAAGTCAGGACAGTAAGTATATGTTTCAAAAAGTTTGGCTAGAAAGAAGAGGGGGAGAGAGAGATAGCTATAGTGAGATAGTGGGACTTCGAATTAAGGGAAGGTGTTTTTTTTGCCCCCAAAATGATAGAAATCTAAGAGTGTTTATAGATAGAGTGGAAGGAGCCAGTTAAGAAGAGGGAGAGGTTGAAAATGGAGGAAAGATGGGGGATAACTTATGGTTTAGGGTCCAGAAGAAACATGAAGGTATTGGATTAAGACTAGGTAGAAGGATTTGCTTGAATGGATGGTAAAGGGTTGGGAGGCACCACTTGTCCTCTGAGACTGGGGGAATGACGTATGGATAGGTGGATATGTAGATATATTTGCACAGTTGGAAGAAAAGACAAGAAATTGAAATAGTTTGTACTTAAAAATGTTAAATTTCTCAAAATAGGAAGTATGTTGTACAGGATAGAATTAAGTAGGAGGCTTCAGGAGGATGTTATGTGCTCAGGACAACCACTGAGCAAAAATGGGAGAGAGGAAGAGCTGGTCAGACAAGTAAAAGGATTATTAAGCTTCACTAAGGGCCCAGCTAAAGTTGGAGACCATAAATTTGGACTGTTGCCATCTGTATAGATGTGTGTTTTTCTTCAGCTTAGATATAGGAGAAAAGAAAGCAAGTTATGAGATGATATTAGTTTGGATTTTGCTGATCAAATGACATGCAAGAGAGTTGAGAACAATTGACAGCGTAGTCTAGACTAGATAGTGTAAAGCCAGGAAAAGGTTGATAAGTCTGAAAATAGAGATTAAAAAGGAAAGAATCAAGGGCTTGAATGCCTCTGATGTTGAAGAGCAAGAGTAACTGTAGTTGGAGTTGAGGGTGTGAGAAAGCTGTAAAAATAGGAAATTATAACAAGAAAGGTTAGTAGTACATTGTAGTGGTGATTCACTTCAGGTAGTGACAGTCTAGTGTATGGTTGTGGGACAAGGTAAGCATGGTAGAGTGAAGGTGAGGATATTTGATTTGAAATCAAGGAACTGTGAACCTGAAGTACTGGGTGGATCATCTTCATGGACAATAACATAACTGAGATGTTGATGGCAGGACATGAAGCAGAGAGGGCTAAGGTCTTCAGTGAATGTGGATGAGTTTCCAGGAGATAGATAGCAGAAATATGGAAAAATAAAAGGTAAAGGGCAGTGTAGTTGGATAATATGAAAATCAAAGGAGAAAGGGTTTTTTACACAAGAAAGGAGGAGTAATAGTTTGGAAATACTGTTGATGATAGACAGCTTTTGTGTTGTGTTCAGAAAACCAAGGGATGGTCAAACTCATGAGAAAAACCGACTAGCAAAATGCAATTTGAAATGGGTGTCTTTGATCTAAGCCTCACAAATTCAGCTATTAGTAGTTCGGCTAATGAGGTTTTGTAGCTCACAAAATATTTTTAAGTATTCCAAAGCAAGGCAGTTTTTTCTTTGGCACCTGATTAAGTAGGAGATTCATTTGATTTCTTTATAGTATCTTTTTAATTAAATCTGATTTCTTTCTTAAAGTAGGATTCATTTCTGATTTTATATTTACTTTCTCAAAGAAGGGGCTTATATTCCGTTCTTACATTAGCAGTGGGGAGCTAAGGCAGTGCTTACCTCTAGATGTTGAAGTAGGATATGGAAATGTGTTGAGAGGAAACAGTGTCCTGATTGGGTGGTGAGGGAGAGCCAGGATATGAGTAGGGTAAGAAAACAGAATGCATGCTTTGTAGACGGTATAGATTTAGGTTACTGTGGAATAGAAGTTCTAGGTACTGTTGAGAAATTGAGAAATTTGGGAAGGATGGAATCAATGAAAGAGGATAAGAAGCACGGAGAAGTATAGATTGCAGACTAAAGGGGCTTACATTTGGGGAGGAATGTGAGAAGTGGTAGAATTAGCTAAAAATTCAATTAGTTTCTGAGGCCTATATTAGCTAATTATTGCCTTGTTATTGTATAGCTTGATTACCCAGCTTTGTCTAATAAATGAATTAAAAACTACTATAGTATTTTCACATTTCAGTGCTTTTTGTGACTGATCGGTGTGCCTGTCAGCAAAGAACTTCTTTTCATTGAAGAATGTTGCATGGGTAAAGCCCCACAAATTCATTGTAACATTACTATTTTTGTTTCAGAATGATAATTTTCCAATTTTCCAATTTTTGTCCTTATTATACTTTTCTATATAGTTGCAAACATAATGGACATAAATTTAAAAATCATTATACAAAATTAATATTGAAAACAATTTCCGTGTTTCCACATAGTCTTCCTAATATTAATAGTGGCACCAGTTATAATTTAGTGGCACCATAGTACCATAATTTATTTAATACTTTCTCTATTACTATTTCTACTTTGTTTCTTTTGTAGGAATAGATAACTGTCTTGAGCATCTTCATAATATTATTTTTTCCCTAAACAACTTTCTTGGCATACATTTCCAGGAGTGAGATTACTGGATGAAAGGAAAGGATTTGAGTGTTTTTATTATCTTGACACATCCTGCTATTCCTTTGCTAAAGAGATTTATGCTGCAAGTTCATGGAAAGAAGAAGGATATAATGGATGGAGTGCTTAAAAAACAAGAGTCTAGCAACTCTGGAGAAAGAATTAGGGTTTTGTTGATGAGACCAACATAGCTAGAAGGATAGTGTGATCTCCAAGATGTGAAGGCCTGGTCTATGGTAGATGTAGTGGAATTGGGCATTTTGAAGTGAAAAATTGATTGGATTTGTTGATTGGAAATAAAGCACAAAGAATGCAAGATGACTTCAAGTTTTCTAGCTTGAGATAGCATAGGAACTAGGAAATTTTGCCTGGAGGAAAAAAGACTAAGATTTTTCGTGTTCCCTTCAAATATTTGAAAGATCGTCACATGGAAGGAGAAGATCTCTGCATGGCTACAAGAGGAAGAATTAGATATAGGGCAGTATCTTATAATAGGTAGAGCAGACTCAAAATGGAATAAAGGACTTTCAGAGGTATTTCCTGACAGTGGAGTAGGTCAGGCAGAAATTTAATAGCTGTCTACTGGGGATATTTATGTAGAAAAAGTGCACACATAGGGTAGAGCCGGTGCTTCTCAATTTTTTTTTTTCTTAACTCATGTCCCCCTTCTTTTAATATGGGGGCAGGGTGGGTTAGGATTGGTGGGAGGGGAATTAAAGGTTTTTGTTTTCTAACTATAACATTGTAATATTGAATATCTTTTCAAATGATAAAGTTCCCTGGTTGACACCAAAGTAGGAGATTGTTTAAGATGACGCCAGGGTTGCTTTCAAGTCAAAGGTATTTCTAACCTGTATGTTAGATGTCAATTTCTAAAAAAAAATTAATTCAATTGCTCTATTAAGTAGCAGTGAGCACCCTATTACTGGAAATGCTCAAATAATAACTAGGCCATTATTTATTAAGGATGTTTAAGAAATATTTTGGAATGTATGGATTGCTTTCAAATTTGTAGATATTATGGTTTATCATCATAAATGCTCTGGGTAAATTTCTGTCATAACTATATTTTTTGTATGTGAATAAGGCCCTAGGAAATTAAGACAAAGCCTAAGAAAGGAAAAACTGGAATTGCTTTCCAAAGTCACAGAAGATAAGATGCATTTTTATAACCTTCAAAAAAAGGGAGTAAAAGTTGTAGACCACAGGTATAAAGGGTTGGTAGCTCATATCTGTAGCAACTTCAAAGGATCTCTGAGAGGGGACAATAAGAATGATGTTTTTATTTGATGTAATATTTGTTATAAATGAAGGTAATTTAGAGAAAAAGTCTGTTCCTAGGTTGTTAAGTTGGGACAGTCCTGTTAAGGTATGTTTCTTGTAGGGAAAATGGCAAAATAAACTTGTACTTGGCATTTATCTGTCTCCTGGAGTCAGATCATGTTGGAGCAGCAGCTATTGGGTTCTAAATTGGATGTGGTCATCTTGGATGTGGTCATCTTCGACTACCTCTAAGCCTCTATTTGTGCTGAACACTATTATATCTGAATGATTTCATGAATGATTTTTGTTTTGCCCCCTCAGTGTAGTGTTCTTCAGAGTCTAAAGGAACTACTGCAGAACTGGCTGTTGTGGCTTTCTATGGACGTCCACAGGAAACCTGTGATCAGGAGTCCCTTGTGAGTTATCTTACAGTCCTCCACAAGAGGTGGTCTGTACAAAAATGTTTCCATATGGAGTATTATAGTGTGGCATGAGACCTAATTTTTTCTTTTTTTTTTTTTTTTGTCTTTTGTCTTTTTTCCGTGTCCGGCAACGGATCGCAACCCTCAGTGTTGCCCCCGCACCGGACCAGGGAGCGGCAACGGGATCGCAAGCCTCGGTGTTGCTCCCGTGCCTCGCTCAGCCAGTGAGCGGCAGCTGGTCTGCATGTGGGATCCGAACCCTCGGACGGGAGCGCCGCCGCGCTTCCCAAGCGGCGCACTATCCAGTGCGCCACCGGGCCGGCCCAAGACCTAATTTTTTCATGTAAATGCTTAGTAGTACTTTTCTGAAAGATTTTTTTTTTCATTACTTTTCATTCTTCTTCACAGTCCTGAGAGAAAGGCTAATTCTCCAAGTTCCTGTTAACCTCTAAGTGGCTTGCAAGAGTTTACACCGCAAAACACTGGAGAGCTGAGATTAGAATTTGCAACTTTGGGGCCGGCCCGGTGGCGCACTGGAGAGTGCACCGCTTGGGAGCGCGGCGGCGCTCCCGCTGAGGGTTCGGATCCCATGTGGAGACCAGTTCCCGCTCACTGGCTGAGTGTGGTGCGGGCGCAACACCGAGGGTTGCGATCCCGTTGCCGGTCCCCGGTACGGGCGTGACACTGAGGGTTGCGATCCTGCTACTGGTCAGTAAAAAAGACAAAAAGGAAAAAAAAAAAAAAAAGAATTTGCAACTTTGACTTGCATTAGCTTAACTCACTGTATAAAATGTATTATTTTATGTAAAGCCAATTTTGATGATGGCTAAAAAATATCTATAGCGATTTTGCTGTACAACTTTCTTTTATGTTCCTCTGATATATTTTAGTTATATATACATCAATTTATCTTGACTTTGTAGTTAGAAAGAGCATTGAATTTTCGTTAAATGTATGCTTTATCCTCAAGGTGAAAGTAAAAGACTGAATTTCAAGGAACTGCATAATCAAGTTGTTTTGACTCTTTCTACCTGAAATATTTGGCTTCTCTTATATTCTATTATCAGCATATTATTTTTTAGCATTTTAAAAACTTTATATTATAGAAAATTACAAACATAATCATAAGTAGAAAATAGTACAGTATTACTCCTATGTACCCATCATCCAGCTTCAACAGTTATCAACTCAAGGTTAACCTTTTTTCATCTTCACCTTCCTCCTCGGTTATTTTTTAGCAAAACCCAGACACCATTTCGTTTTTTTTTTTTTTATTAAAAGATGACCGGTAAGGGGATCTTAACCCTTGACTTGGTGTTGTCAGCACCACGCTCACCCAGTGAGCAACCAGCCACCCCTATATAGGATCCGAACCCGGGGCCTTGGTGTTATCAGCACCGCACTCTCCCGAGTGAGCCACGGGCCGGCCCCCAGACACCATTTCAACTGTTAAAAGTGATACCATTATAATACCTAACGAATTAATAGTTTTAATATTTTCAAATATCTAATCAGTGTTCAAATTCCCTTTAGCTCATTTTGCAAATAGCTGGTGCTAAGCTTGGTTCAAAGATTAGCCTTAACTCATTTTCTCACATGTTCTGTGGCGTGAAATTAAGGCTGTTGAGGCAAAAATAATTTTTTAAAGGCTTATCGAAAGCCCAGCTTAAGGATCAACTCAGGAAACACAAGCCAACAGAGTTGGAAAATGCTCCAAAGTCTACTACAAGCAAAGGCATTTTATAGGGAGTTTCAAAAGGAAGGGGGAAAGTTTCAAGTACAATTGTCCTTTTCTCATGGAATACAAGATTCACAGTCATTGGTCACTGATTATAGCATGGGAACCAAAAGCGAACATGTGCAACCTGAAGCAGAAACTTCATGCTTCAGTTATTCTTAAAAATATCTAAATGGCTTATTCAAAACCAGCAGGTTATACATTAATCAATAAATCAGCAGTGTTAACCACATACATTGTTTATCTTAAGAGCAAGATGTCAACACCGAGTTCATGAGACTTGTCCCAAGGCAGTGAGTTTTGGAAAACCTGCTTCATTTTGATTATTTCCTTCATCAGTGCTTATCCCTATAGTGATCTCCTACTTTGGTAGGAGAATGGAGAATGGGAGCTCCTTGAGGGTAGCCTGCAAAATCGTTTTTTTCATATTCATTATTGCAATGTTTCCATGTATGTCTTATCACTTTTAGAAGGAAATGGGGTAGTGAAAGCATCTTATAAAGCTGTGCTTCTCAAAGTGTGGTCCTTGGCCCAGCATCAGGATTACCTGGGAACTTGTTAGAGATGCAAATTCTCAGGCCCTGCCCTAGATCTACTGAATTAAACTGTGGAGGTGGGGCCTGGTAATCTGTTTTTATACTTCCTTTATTCTGGTGCAAGCTACAGTTTGAGAACCACTATTATAAAGAAATTCTACCTAAATATTTAACCTCTTCCAGTACGTTTGCATCTATAATCTTTGGCCAACTTGCAGTGTAAGTTTCAGGCACCTCTGAAATGGGTGCCTTACGATTTCTTTTTTTTTTTTTTCCTTTTTGTCTTTTTTTCATGACCGGTAACAGGATCGCAACCCTCGGTGTTGCGCCCGCACCGCGCTCAACCAGTGAGCGGACTGGTCTCTATATGGGATCCGAACCCTCGGCGGGAGCGCCACTGCACTCCCAAGCGCCGCGCTCTACCGAGTGCGCCACCAGGCCGGCCCAAGTGCCTTACGATTTCTATATTATCTTTTCAAAAATCCTAGGATTCTTTTATTAGTGTCATAAATTAGGTGAGAGCATTTAAAAAGGAGCTGTGTTTTCTAAAATTCTTAAATAAATGGACATACATGTAGATAACTTTGCTTGTCATGGTAGTATTTGACATATAGTATAGCCCTTATGTTCTCAATAATTTCTTTTATTTTGGAGATATGGATGTAATGCCATATTTCCATCATATGGCCATATGCCATATAACTGTCAAAAAGGGAATAAGTTGGGCCGGCCCGGTGGCGCACTGCTGTAGTGCACCTCTTGGGAAGCGTGGCGGCGCGCTCCCGCCGAGGGTTCGGATCCCACATACAGACCGGTTCCCGCTCACTGGCTGAGCGAGGCGCGGGAGCAACACCGAGGGCTGCGATCCCGTTGCTGGTCCCGGTCCGGTACGGGGGCGACACTGAGGGTTGTGATCCGTTGCCGGACACGGAAAAAGACAAAAAAAAAAACAAACAAAAAAAAAAAGGGAATAAGTTGTAGTTATAGATCACAAGAAGAGAAGGGTAGAAAACAATTCTCAGCAGTAGTTCTCCTTGGGGCATTTCTGGTTGTTGCAATGACTAGGAAGAGGATGCTACCATCAGCAGCAGTAGGTGGGAGCTAGGGATGCCAAACTTGCTGCAGCAGGTGGAGAGTAGAAGGTAGTCCTAACAGTGAATTGTTTCATTCAAAATGCCAATAGAGAAACACTTCAAAAGAGGCTGTTCTGAGCAATCACCGTTGTTTCAAATTATTTCAGACATATTTGCCAAGTGCTGCCAAAAATCATAGTTAAGATATAGTCAGCTGGCTACTTGCAAAACTATATGGATGCTCGCCTATTTGAATGGTCTTCCAGTCCTTCCCTGCTTACTCTGGCACTGAACCTTTATGGTGGTGGGTAGTGGCAGAGTCAATCATCTCTCAGGCTCTAAGTCTATATATATTATTCCTTTTTCCTTGTGCATAAACATTGTTGACTACCTAGGTAGGAGGGTAAAGCTATGAATTCACATTTGTAGGTCTTTTCTTAATCCACTTAACAGTGGATTAAAGGACAGGGGTGAGCGTATGGATGGATTGAACTAATTATACCCATCTGTGGTTCATTGATTTGGGAAGAATATAAAATATCCAGATCTGGCTTTTACTAGAAGACTGAAAGATGCCAAAAATTTTGCTAATTCAGTTTTAGGATTGAATTGAATTCCAGTGAAAATATTTTTAACGGTATTTTAGCTCAGCAATTCAGGCAAAACTGGGTTTTGATTATGTACTGTAGGTTTCAATTAGTGTGTTGCAGTATTACTGGTATCATAGGAAACAATTCCCGTGGTCATTTTAATGTTTATCCTTTTAAACCACTTGAGGTTTGGTTGGGATTAATTAGTTCTTTTTTCTAGTTTATCGTTTTTTTCATTTTTGGATTTTATTCTGAATTTTTCATGTCACTTTGTCATGAACTCTTTTTTCCCCTTAATTGTTAAAGGAATATCCTTCTTCTAGTGGTTTTTGTGTGTCTTTCACTCAAGGATTTCCTTAATTGAGGAGTGTTAGAGTTCAGTGCTTATCAATGGCTAGAAATTAATATGCTGACTACTGTGATCCCTGGACATTGGTAACGTTATCTAAAGAATGTTATAGAGATAAAACATTCTCTGTAAAAATAAAGTCTGTCTGGAGCTTAATCCTTTATTTTCCTGGTATTTACTAGTAGAATCTGGTTGCTGAGGATGTTCTGTGACTTGATCTTAATGGTTCCCTAGAGGGCTAAGTGTAATTTTATGATTAATCATTATGATTTTTAAAAAGGTGAATTATACATTGGAGCACTGACAATTTTTGAAATCTCTATCAACTTTTTGTTATATATTATCCAGCTTTAGCTAGGAAATTGTGAGTTCTTTTGCTACTCTGGATCTGAATGTTCTTGTTTCTTATTGCAGAGAGACAACTTTGGGTGAATCCATGAACTCTGTGTCTAAACTGATTCACTATGTAGGGTGGCTCTCCACGGCTGCAGTGCGCTTGGAGAGCAACAGTACTTTCTTGCTGCACTTTATTTTGGATTTCTATGAGAAGGTAGTACACATTCCATTTTCCCTATTTAGATTTTGGGAATGGCTATCCATTTTACTGGTCTATTATTTAAATTTTAGGTGTAACCATTAAGGTGGGCTGTGATCTTATTAGCATAGTTAAAACAACATCACATTTTGAAGTTAATGATTGTATTCTCACTTGAGTAACTGACTTTCATAAAATAGTGGAAAAACAAATGCATTTTTTTTTTTGGTCCAGGTACCACTTTAGTAGACATTGACCTGTAATAATGCTGGCCCTAGACAGATGTCTGTTTTTAGCATCATTTTTTATTTATCCATTGTACATCCCCAGCCCCTGGCAAAACCCAAAAATATCTTAGTGTTTCTTCAGATCTCCACTTCTACCTTTCAACTGCCCTTATTTCTCTCGGTACCTAGTACTTTTCCATTGTTTTGTAGTATTTGACCTGTACAGAACTAATATCCATGAAGTACCCATTATAATCTCACTTTTCCTGGCTTCCTCCCTTTACTAATACCTAGTTGTCTTGTGTCACATATTTTCTTAGAAGCATGCTCCTTTGTTTTCCAGGTTGACAGCTAACTAATCTGATAAATAGGTATTTATGAGATTTAAGAAAAAAGAAATGCTCCCTTCCTCTATCTTGCCCCCCAACTCTAAGACCTCTCCCCAGAAAAAATGAAAGATTTTAATAATGGTCTTGTAGAAATAATTCTCTATGATAAGGTTGATGTTTGGTGAGGTATATTTTATTTTATTTTATTTTTTCCCCAGCCCTGCATGGACAATGGTATATTTTAAACAGACTCGTGGCTGTCTATGCTATTTAGGAATTGGGCAGGTCCAAACCTAATGTTATTATTGCTTGTCTTATACTGATGATTCTTTGGGTGAACTTGGTTGAGGAATTCTGGGGAATAATCCATATACTAATGTTATCATTCTTCCCAAAAGGTATGTGACATACATATAAATTATGACCTCCCATTGGTAATATTGTTTCCTCCTGGGATCTTCTTTCCTGCACTCCTTAGCCTGGATGCCAGTATCCTGAACCAGCTTTGTTATATTATGCACAGGTAACAAAGCCTTTTTACCATTTTATGAATTAGTACATCATAATTCTGTCTTCATCTTTCAACTATAATACATTAAAAATTCCTATTAATTTTCTGCCAGGACCTTTGGAAATAGGAAACATGGCTTTCTTTTGGGCATGACCTTCCAGTATGGGGCTATGAAAACAGTGTCGCTTGTAAATCCCCCACTGTAGGGGATATGGAATAAAAAAAAAAACTTATAGATAAGGATCTGTTGTGCATTGTTACTGTTGCACTCAGCATTGTTTATTCTAAATGCTGAGTCTTAAAGAAAAATTAGTCATTGGCTGACAACTGGTTTAAGTGTATGTAGCTTTTCTGGTCAAAAGAACATTTTCTGGGAGATAAGGGGAGTTATTGCCAATTATGAGAAACTGTTAATAGCGAACATTAATGGCATTTCTTTCATTGTTTTTTCCTTTTTTGAGTCAAGTGCACATCTTAAATGTACAGCTCAGTTTTGAGCCTCTATTAATTTCTATTCTTTGAGGAGAATGTACCACAAAAGGATAAAAACCTTAACTAGACAACTGGATATTTATGTGCACATTTCCATATATTTCCATTTAAAATGTACATTTTTGTCTTATATTTCAAAGGCATTACATTTAAAGGCATATTAAATATTTTATTCTATTTGTTCTTCCTGTTAGATATCGTCAAAATTTGACTGCTGCGAAGAAAAATGAGTTGCTACAAAAGGTACAAATGATAAAATTCTATGTTAAATCACCATCGTTTAAAATTTGAGTATAGATATATGTGGCCTGTTGGGAATAAGAAGGAAAGGGAGAATAGGTAATAATGACAATTTTATTTCTTTCCCATTAGGCAAAATCAGAGTTCAATTTCAGCAACAAGATCTATCAAGAATTTAATTACTATTTGACAGCCATGGTTGGTTGCCTCTGGACATCCAGACCCTTTGAGAAAGGAATGCATATTGACCCCAAAATCCTAGAAAAAGCTGGAGTAGCAGAGTACAAAGACAGTTTAAATTTAGTCCATCATCCTTCTCTGTTTAGTTATGCTGTTTTCTTTTTGCTCCAGGTAAGTATATTTAAAGGATTTTTAGATTTTATATAGTAATACTGTATAAATAGTAATTATACAGTAATATACAGTAATTATATAGTAATACTGTTGATGACAGAAACAGGAAATGACATAAATTTAGTGCATCTGAATTGCAAGAATTGTTTTTTAAAGTACAAACTAAATTTTGATCCTGTGCTAGGCTCTGGGGATTCAGTTCACTTAAGCCTCTATCCTCTAAGATAGCTTGGGCTTGTAGCAGACAGATTCCTAAACAAATTACTACAATACAGTGTGATGAAGTAAGAAAAGGTACAGTGGTGAGAAAGATGGGGGAGTGATTAGTTCAGTTCTGCTTGGGTAGAGATGGTGCCAGATAAGTAAATGCTTTGTAGAAGTGGAAGCTCTTTTAAAATCCCTCTAGACAAGATGGAAAATATATATTAGATAATGTTATAATTAGAGTCTTAGCCGAGGACTGCTGATTTAATAGATTGATATCAATGTGCAGGTGGGTGGGAAAGGGGGGTCTTCTCAGGACTTTATCCTTGGCCCTGTTTTCGACATTATTGGTGACTTGAAGAAGAGCTCAAATGCATGGAATACAACAGGGTGGGATTACAAATACTCTGAAAGAATTTGGATTCAGAATTCCGTTAACAGGCTGGAACATTGAGAAATCTAAGAAAATGAAAAATAAATGTGCAGGGTTAGGGAGATATTCATTGAATAAATGTTTAATAAATGCATACAATGAGCCAGACACTGTAGTGAACAAGACACATCTGGGTGTTGCCCTCATGGAGCTCACAGTCTATTCAGAGAGGCAGTCATTAAACAGACACCTTAGAATAAATAATGATGAGTAATATAATATGGAAAGTACAGAGGATAATGAATAACTATGAAGGGATGCTAAGTTCAGGTTTTTAGAAGTGATGCTAATCAGAAGTTTGAAGGACGAATATGAGTTTGCCAAGATAGGAGCACAATTTGAGGAAAAGCGCAAAGATGCAGAGCACAGATAGTTAGAACTTTTTCTATAGAGGGCCAGATTGTAAGTATTTTAGGTTTTTCAGGCCATGTGGTCTCTGTTATTACTACTCATCTTTGCCATTGTAGCGTGAAAGCAGCCCTAGACAACGTGTAAACAAATGGGCATAGCTGTGTTCCAGTAAAAGTTTATTTACAAAAACAGGTGTGGGGCTGGATTTGGGCTGTGGGCTGTGGTTAGCTGACCCCCGTGTTAGAACCTGCCATATTTGAGGCACTTGAAATAGCTTTGTAGGGATAGATCAGTGACACTACACTGACTGAGCTGCAGAATTACCCCAGGTGCTTTTTAAAAGTGTATATCCTTGTTTGCTACTGCTCTGAGACCCGATTTAGTAACTCTTGGGTGACAACAATAAGTGTTGAGAGCCTCTAGGCTAGACTATATCATGGTAGGAGATGATGTTTTGAAATATAGTCAAGGACCAGATGGTGAAAAAGTAGTTAAGTAGGCCTTCAAAAACATATTGATTTTAATATTTGGATAAAAATTATATTTTTTAACCACATAGAATTTCAGAGGTTGTATAGTTTAGAGGTTTTCTGATATTATGTTTTGTCTTTTTCTCTTTTCTTGACTTCATAATAGTTTGCTTAATTTATCATATACAAAAATCTGTTTCAAATTAAAAATTTTAATATTACTACTAATATGAAACTACTAGATGAAGTTTTAAATGTTTTCACTTTTTCCCCCCTGGACTAAATCCTTTTAAAAATATACAGTGCAAATACTACATTTTACATGTAGTTAGGTACCTTTGTTTCAGTTTTTCGTGTTTTGGAGATTGCTTTTTTTTAGATTTAATTTTATTTTTGAAGTATGTAAAATATTTACATGATTCCAAATTCTGAACTATGAAAATCTCATTTCCGTTCTTGTCTCCTCCATATTTTCTCTTCTTCTGCCTTGAGTTAGACATTTTTATTGCTTTTGCTTTTCCCATCCAGTGTTTCCTTTCTTTAAACTTAGTAAACATTGTTTTATGATCTGTATCTAATTCCAATATCTAAAGTTTTTGTGTGTCTCTTTTTGTTGTCTCCTTTTTCCTCATGCTGCTTAGTTTCTCTGTGTGCCTGATTATGTTTGACCATGTACTGGACACTTTGAATATTATTTTGTAAAAATAATTTGAGCACTGAACTGATATCTTCGTGCACAGAGGACTTTCATTTGCTTCTCCCAGGTACCTAAGGATGCTCTTTGTCTGAGACTACCCTAATCCAGGTTCTTTGCCCCAGATTCCCCAGACCATAGGACGCAGACTGCAAGCTTGCGAGAGTACTAATTTACTTGTTAATTCTTTCCTTGAAGGTGTAGCCCTTTGGGTTTCCGGTTTAAGTGGGGCATGGTTTATAAGAGTTCTCACTTTTGGCAATCCCTGTGCTTTGGCTTTAGTCACCTTAGCCCTGTGAGGCTGTGGAAGTGCAGCTCAGTTTTGCAGCTGATTTCTCTGGATTGGCAAGTTCCCTTAGGCCAAAAGTGGTTTTGAGTTTTAGATTTACCTATTTGGGTTCTCATCTTCTAGATTTTGGCTTCATAATTCTTTACCATAGCATTAGTTCTTTACTACACAGCTTGATCTCTACTCCCAACCAGTTTTATACCCTCCCCCCAAAATTATTTTGAAGCAAATACTAAATGTTATATAATTTTACTGTAAATGTTTCATTGTATACCTCTAAAAGATATGACACTTTAAGAAAACTTTTTATGTCTCTTTTTTCCCAACAGCTTTATTAAGATATTATTCAAATATGATACAATTCATCCATTTAACGATACAGTTCAATGGCTTGAACTGTATAGTTATAGAGCTGTGCATCCATTACCACAATCAATTTTAGAACATTTTTCATCTTTTTTTTTTTCTAGCTGGCCAATACAGGAATCCGAACCTGTGACCTTGGAGTTATTAGGCTGCGCTCTAACCAGCTGAGCTAACTAGCCAGCTTCAATTTTAGAACATTTTTATTATCCCCAAAAGAAACCCTACACCCCTTAGCTATTGCAACCCAGTCTTTCCTGCGATAGCCCTTGGCAAACACTAATCTACTTTATATTTCTATATATTTGCCTATTCTAGAAGTTTCATATAAATGGAGTCATATGATATGTGGTCCTTCGTGACTGGCTTTTTTAACTTAGCATAATGTTTTCAAGGTTCTCCTATATTATGGCATGTATCAGTACTTCATTTGTTTTTACTGCCAAATAATATTCCTTTGTATGGATGTGACTTTTTTTTTATCCATTCATCAGTTGATGGACTTTTAGATTATTTCCACTTTTCATTTGTTATGAATAAACATTGGTTTACAAGGTTGTGGACATATGTTTTTATTTCTCTTGGGTATACATACTTAGAAGTGGGAATATTGGGGGCCGGCCCAGTGGCGCACTGCGCCACTTGGGAGCGCAGTGGCGCTCCTGCCGAGGGTTTGGATCCCACATACAGACCGGTTCCCGCTCACTGGCTGAGCGAGGTGCGGGCGCAACACCAAGGGTTGCGATCCCGTTGCCGGTCCTGGTCCGGTACGGGCGCGACACTGAGGGTTGCGATCCGTTGCCAGACACGAAAAAAGACAAAAAAAGGGGGGAAAAAAAAAAAAAGAAGTGGGAATATTGGGTCATATGTTTAACCATTGGAAGAATCTCCAGATTGTTTTCTGAAGTAGCTGCACCATTTTACATTCCTATCAGCAGTGTGTGAGGGTTCCATTTTCTACACATCTTTCCCAGCACTCGTTATCTGTTTTTTGGTTTTTTTTTTATTCTAGCTATCCTAGAGGTGTGAAGTGGTATTTCATTGTGATATTGATTTGCATTTCCATGATAGTTATTGATGTTCAACATCTTTCCCTTTTTTTTAAGTTGTAATAATTTTTATTTTTGAGTTGTAAGAGTTCTTTCTATATTCTAGATCCAAGTCCCTCACCTAATACATGATTTATGAAAGCTTTCTCCTATTCTGTGGGTTGTCTTTTCACTTAAATGTTGCTGTCTTTTAATTAACAAAAGTTTTTAATTTTGATGAAGTTCAATTTATAAATTTTTATTGCTTGTGCGTTGGTTGTCAAAGCTAAGAAATCACTGCCTAACCCAAGGTGACGAAGATTTACTCCTGTGTTTTGTGTATGTGTGTGGCTATTCAATTGTCCTAGCACCATCTGTTGAAAAGGCTATTCTTTCCCCATTGAACTGTCTTGGCACCCTTGTTGAAATTCAGTTGACCATAGATGTATGGGTTTATTTATGGACTCTTGATTCTCTTCCATTGATCTACATGTCTGTCCTTATGTCAGTATATAACACTGTTTTGATTAGCGTAGCTTTGTAGTAAGCTTTGAAATTGGGAAGTACGAGTCCTCCAACTTTGTTCTTCTTCAAGATTGTTTTGGCTATTCTTGGTCTCTTGAAATTCCATATGAATTTTAGAATCAGCTTGTCAGTTTCTACAAAGAATCCAGCTGGTACTCTGGTAGGTAAGGCCTTGAATCTATAGGTCAATTTGGGTATTGCCATCCTAACAATATTAAGTTTTCCAATGCATGAACATTGGATGTCTTTGCGTTTTATTTAAGTCCTCTTTAGTTTTTTTCAATAATGTTTTAATAGCTTTCAGAGTATAAGTTTTGCACTTCTTTTGTTAAATTCATTCCTAAGTATTTCTTCTTGACGTTATTGTAACTGGAATTGTTTTTTTAATTTCATTTTCAGATTGCTTATTGCTGCTTTGCAGAAATGCAATTGATTTGTGTCTGTTGATCTTATATCCTGTAGTCTTGTTGAATTCGTTAGTTTATAGCTTTTTAGTGGATTTCTTAGGATTTTCTATACACAAGATTATGTTTTCTGCAAATAGAGATAGTTATATTTCTTTCTTTCAAATCTGGATGCCTTTTCTTTGTCTTGCTTAATTGTACTGCCTAGAACCTCAGGCACAATGTTGAAGAAAAGT